TCTGCATGTCAGAAATGCTGTATCGTGTTTGTTCAATCAAAGCATGGCCGTGGGTGCCGGATGCCTTGTGATAGCTTTGCACGCACGCACGCTCACACACACACACAAACACACACACACGCAGAGGGCTAAAGCACAAGAGCAGCATCAGTATCTTGTGGTGCCAGTGGGGAGCAGCTGGGTGCCACAATGAACAAAGTCTCCACAAAGAAACTAGTGAAGACAAGCAAAGACTGCTCAAGTAGACTTAAGGGGCGTGCACGTCTGTGTGTGTCTATGTGTGTGTGTGTGTGTGTGTGTGTGTGTGTGTGTGTGTGTGAGAGAGAGAGAGGGAGTGCAAGCCATTATTTGTGTGTGTGATAACTAAGAAACACAGTTTTAATGTAACTCCGTCTATGTTCACTGAAGCACAAATTTTACTGCTGACCTGAACAGAGGCGCTGACAGAAGAAAACACAGAGCCTTTCACTATAAAAAAAAAAACAACTTCTGCTGTTCACTGTTCACAATCACAGTTGCATAGCAGGTAGTGTGACTGAAATGCTATTGTGCTTCTAGTAGATATTAGGACTGGGCGATATGGCTTAAAAAAGAATATCATGATATTTATAAGCTATATCACAATACACAATATATATCACAATGTGTTAAGATCTCATCTAAAGTACTGTAGACTACTAAAATACAAAATTATTAAATGAACTACAGTTACAATAAAGTTAAATAAAGTAGCTACTGCCATAATAAAGTTAAGTATTGTAATAAAGTTAAATAAATTATTGTTATAATAAAGTCAAATAAAGTATTGTTATAATAAGGTTAATAAAGTACTGTTGTAACAAAGTTACATAAAAAACTGTTAAAATTAAATAAATCAAAGCGAAACAACTGGTGCTTTTATTTTGAAGCACAACTTGATTTCGAATCATTAAGCTTTTCTTGGTTACATTAAACATTCACAATATAATAAGCAACAGTTAATGTACCAAAAAAACATCCTACAAATGTATTTAATATGGTTAATACACAAAAACTCAGCTAATGTGGTTAATATGGTGCATGTGGTTTGATCAAATTTGACTGACATTGGTAGTGCTGCACGATTTGAGAAAAATGTGTGATTGCAATTTTGGTGGACAATATCGTGATTTGCGATTGCGATTACAACATAATAAATAAATGGTATCATGAGTCATCTTGCTTGATTCAGTGTTTCCCCTACATTATATGAGGGGGGCACTGACCTGACCTGACATAGTTATTGTTATGGACAGTGTAAATGACCATCAACAGACTGCTGTTACGCACAGTCAAACACGCTGCTCGCACAGCAGCGCAGCATGGCACCGTACACACACACACACACAGTTGCCTGTGTTGTGTTCAGGCGTTGTCACATAAATGACAAATTCCAGGAAGTGAATAGGCTGTAACATAATACAGCAGCATGTCAAGTGGGACAAACCCGAGCAAAATTGCTCAGTTTTTCATTTGTTATTTTATAGTTTGTTATGGAGTCCATGATTTCCCTGTGCCTCTTTGAGGTCTTGTCATATGGCGTGACACTTACAAATGTTTGCGTAATTGTGCTTTGTTGTTTTATGAGGCTCTGGCGGCTTTCAGTTGTCTCTTTGTCTTTAACGTTACTTGGCTTGGCTTTCTCTCGCATGCATTCTTCCTACTTTTCTCTGTGCTGTCTCAAGTGCTGATAAAGCCTGGTCGTGTTGCCGTGGGACGGGGTGACTATAACCTTTAAAGTTTTACACAGCGCGTCTTTTTGTTCAATGTCGCCGTACCTGAATCCAAAGTATCGCCATATAATAGACGTTGTGTTTCTTTCACCACCAACTCAGCCTGGTCATGGTCGTGCTCATGCTCTTCTTCAGTGTTTGTGTTGGTCACTACTACACACTGGGTGTTCAACTGACCATACGTGCTGCACACACCAGGCACACACATTAACATTTATTTACATTAAATCGCAGCCTTTTGTGCGGTTATGTAATCGCACAGCCTGACATCGCGATTAGATTAATCGTGCAGCACTAGACAGTGGTAACATAAGCCACTGCTATTAGCCTTGATTCAAATGTTGCTGAATTCTGATTTTGAGACATCACCTTTTCTAGTTGAGAAACACGAGGAGTAATGTGTTTATGTAGGAACCCACCACTGAGTGAGAGAATATCTTTTCAGGGCCTTTAATGTTACATACAGTATTGTATTTCGAGGGACATAAGATTGATTGGTAAGACTTCATACTCAGATAAGACAGATATTTATTATAGTGTTGAATTTATAGTTGGTGTCAGCTGTGTGTCAGGCAGGCCATCTGCAGGGTGTTGTTAAACTGTCTGAAAAGCCTGTTTGATATGTTCTGGTTTGTTTCACATCCTCAACAACGAAGTGTGAATCTCATTCAGACATATTTCATTATAACCTGAGCCAGTGTAGTTGGATGGGGGGCATGCTTTCACTTTTCGTCTGTTTATTATTTGGGTTACAGACTGGACTACAATATTGTGTTGGGATAACTCATCATTAACTGATTATTTAGACTTTGGATTTTACTGGATGAATTTCACTTAGTGCTGGCAGAGAGCTGTGGGAAAGGACTTGTTGATCGCATTCTTGGGAAAACCAAACCTGAAAGACAACAACTGTGACAACCTCAAACTGCGGTCTTGGCACTGGGAACCAAAACTGGAGTTTCTAGTGGGAGCTGAAACTGTTTTGTTTTTTTTCCCTGTATTGTTATGGATGGTCCAAAGAATGGAGATCCAACCAAGGCTGTGGCCATGGAGTCAAATTTGGGGGTGAACAAATGGATAGTGGTTGCCTGTCTCCTCTCCCATACAGGAAGTGGTGCATTTTACACCAGCTGTAGCAATGCATGTTTGTTTGGAGTAAACATAAGATGTTAGCATGAGGAATAACTTAACAAAATCCAACATAAAAAGGAACACTGTTTCATTATGCAAGCTCACACCATGGTAGCACCATGACAAGCCTTTACAAAAAAAAGCTGAAGACAAAGTAACAAAGAAGATCTTAGGACAGCAACTGTAATTAATTCATTCATTGTAATTAATTAGGCACAGCCGTCTTTTGAGCTAAATGCTAATGTCTTGTCAATGATAATGCTAACATGCTGATGTTTATCAGCTATGTTTACCATCTTCACTAACTACCAACTTCACTGAAGTACAGCTGGCTAATGGAAAGAGGCATTTTTAGACCACAGGGACTTTGTCATAGTTCTAAGAGCCACGCTTTTATTTTTTCTACACCACAAGAACTAGTAACGATTGTAATTCTGAGAATGCCGTTTTCAGTGACTAGCTTCTATTTTGCATTGTCAATCTAATAGAGGAAATGCCCACTGGGCTCCCCTGAGAATTACATACCTTCAACGGCTTTTTTCTGTTTGCATTTGCACTGCCAATAGGAACGCTGAAAAGACGTACTGTAAGTCAGCCAGTGGTTGGTATAGCAACGCCACTTCACTTTGACAAATCAATGTGGGGTTGTATTTTCATCGACACATATATGCTCAGAAAAGCATGGACTTCACTGTTGGTCCATTTCTCCATGTGTTCTTCCATTTTTTTTTCTTAACGAGTTGTTGTTTGTATCTTGTGGTATACACAACTAACATTTTTTTTTAAATGGCAGTTATCGGTGCTACATAGGTTGAGATCAACCAGGCAACGTAAACTTACGATGTCTGGACAATCACTGTACAGTTACGCCCCTCATGTTCCCTCTTGTACTGGGAGAATATCTACTCTGAAATAGGAGCTAAGAAAGTACCTCAAAATGGCATTCTAAGAACTGCCATCATTCCTAATTCCTGCGAAGTGGACACAACAAAAAGAGAGACTCATAGAACTCTGAAAAAGTTCTTCCAGTCCAAAAACACCACTCCAAAGAGTTTCCCACAGAATTAGAATCGATGTCTAGCAGTAACTTCCCTTTTTTTCTTGCCTGTGTGTCCTTGTGTATCACTCTGTGTCCTCTCTCTTAATTCTGAGGTTTTTGTGGGTCCATGAACGCAGCACGCGCAGAACTCTTCGTGAGTTCATTTTTTCCCTCGGCAGCAGGTTGTTGTTTTTTTTCGAGTTATGAATTACGGGTTGGATAATTAATCAGTCGATCCGATCGGAGCTGATCAGATCAGATCGATGGATGGTAAGAGCAGCTGCTGCAGAGGCAAAGTTTTAGGTCCAGTGGAATGAACAGTCAAGTTTCACTTTCACTGCGCCTGGAGTTCTGCTGCTCTGTCTGTGCCTAGAGCACACTCTGTGCTCCAAGAGTATGGAGCACTAAAAAAAAACGGAATGGTATATATAGATCCCAACAGCGCTCCTTATGAACAGTCCAACAGCAGATGTTTTCATCATGGCGCCACAAATAAATGAGTATGTGGGAAGCCCCGACACATAATATCATCAATTTTGGTATTTGATTTTAAATTTAAGTGTTGGACAAAATAAAAGTTCAACCTGATGATGAAACTGGATAAAAAGTTGCAGTAAGGGATCTCCTGATCTCTCTCCTGTCTGAACTAAATTTCACTATTATCACAACAGCAGTATATACCATATGATATAGTACATCTTTTGTACATTTCATTGAGAAACAAGCAAGATATGAATGTCTGTTTCTGGCTAATCAACTGAGGATAATACCTTAGAAATGAAGGTACTTAAGCACATTAAATCTTGTGAATCCAATACTGCAATAAAGCATAAATCGTGTGTTATTTGGTACTCAGGTTTTATCAACACTACATCAGTGGTATATATGTGTATATGGGTGGAAACTTTTCATTCAGTCAAATGCAGCAGAGATCTTTGCCTACAGCAACTTTAATACAAGCAGCATTTAAGTTGTTAATCCCTGGAGCCAGGACACAGCAGCTCTGCTGTTGTTGAATGAGTTGCTCTAAACACACACACACACACACACACACACACAGGTTTGTTGACTTTCCATACCTCGGCTTTATTCTGCTCTTTGTCCGTGGGATCCTGCGGGTGTGTGTTGGTGTGTGTTTCCTCCATGCTGACCAGCTTCAGTTTGAGGTAGGACACCTCGTCCATCAGATCCAGCTTCTGAGTCTCCAGAGAAGTCCTGCTTATCAGCTCCTGGGACACACACACACAGGCACACTTTAAGTTAGAGGCATTAAAAGCAACACTTGGACAGCTTAAACAAACCACACCTATATAGAACGTCAGAGACACACACACACGTCGGAGATTAATGCAGTGAGTATCCAGCATGTTACTCCACTCGGCACAATGTTCTTCCCAAACTAACAGAGCAGACGAGGACGAGAGCCCAGACCCCACAATGCTAAATATACACACTCACTCACAGGCCAGCGAGGGGCTCTATTAATATGTCTGTGCTTCTTTGGTGAGGGAGAGGGAAAACAAATTGTGTCTACGAGAGAAAGAGAGACAGAGGCTGCTGAGCATGAAGAAGTGTGTGTTTCTTCTGACTCACAAAACACACACATCTCCTTGCCAACCCTCAGTGTGTCTGTTGCTTTCATTTCCTCATCTAAACTTCTTCTAATCCAACTTCCTCTTTTCTAAACCCAAACTTAAGTTGCCTTGGATTGTTGTTTAAGCCTTTGACATCCATCTTCTTATGCTTACTCCTCTTGAGATAAAACATTTCAGAGGATATTGAACTGAAAATGAGCCTGCAAACACTTTGCCCAACAGTTTAATAAACCAGGTCAAGGAAGTGCAAAAAACTGTGGCCCTGAACCAGCGTTGTTGTTGGTGATTTTATATCAAAAACTACTGATTCCAAGTCCAAATAAAAATGGATACATAAACACACTTCATATATGGTTAAATCCTTAAAACAGATGAAAAGAAGACAGCCAGTTAATTAAGATTACTTAATTTACTTCCAGAAGTTCTACACTAAACTGCCATGAAACAAGTGACCATGAAGTTTGGAATAAAGTAGACTGTTTCTCTCGTATCTGGTTATTTGAACAAGTGATCTGATGTCACTTGTTAAGAGATGGTAGAATTTATGAGTCAATAACAAGTGACTAACTTTTTCAGAAGGAGGCAACTTTACACAGCTGACACTACTGTTGAGCAATGGTTTATTTTGAGAAGATTTTACAGACAAATCATTGCTGCTTTTGTTTCTAATAGCCACAGACTGACTTCTCATGTACGTGTCCCACCAAAATAATGTAAAGCCACATTGAAGGCTTTTAAAGATGTTCATGCTAACTGAGTTGAATTTGAAGACATATTTAGTTCAAATTTGAACACAGCCAATAAGAATTAAAGAAAATGACACCAGGAAATGAGGTGTTCAGTGACATCACATCACATGAATACAAACATGTTAAATTTTCTGTTGTATTATAAGCATGAACATGCTAGATCATCCGCAATGTGCCCTTAAAGGCTCTCTAAGTCTTCCTAAGCTTGAACATTTTTTGTCACATACAGCAAACATCTCCTCACAATCCGCTAGCTACATGTCCTCTGAATATGCTGTGAAAAAGTCTGGTCTCTGTAGGCAGCCCAGGCTCCACAAATGGCAACAAAACAATTGCTAGAAGCTCTTTTCATAAAACCAGGCTGCCTATGCAGTAGAAAACACACAAATATTTTTGAAACTGGTGCTACATGACCAAAGGAATCAGACTAAATGGACTATGGCATTCACTTTTGCTCAAGAGGTAGAGAACCTACAATTACCAGAATGCACTGCGTTGCATGGGACCAATAAACACTCCTGCATGTGAGTTGTGTAATGCGTCATTTCTTGTCTGAAAACAAAATGTCAGCCGGCTGGTAACAAACGATCTTGATTTACGGTCAAACACATTTCTGAAAATATTTAAGGTGCGAAATAGGCAACACACTAACATAATCTTGATTTACAAATCAAAAACAGTGCACTAAATATGTTTCTGAAGATACTTTAGACCACAAATAGGCACTACAGTAACAGAATCTTGGTTTATATTTGAGTTTGGTCTGAATGTGAGACAGAGCAAGGGGTGGCTCTCTCTCAATCAGCTTTTTGTGTCTGAAGCAGTAAGTATACAAAAATTAGGTAGTACCATCTGCAGTTCAAGCAGCTGCAACTAGAACCAGCAAAAATCCACGATCCACAAAATGCGTCATACGTGTTGATTTTGCTGGCAAATGAGCAGGGAAATCTGGGCACTGGCACAATAAAGGGATGTTTACCACAGTTCAATTTCACATACTATCCACACTGTTATAACACTAAGCTGGTTGAAAATTGTTAAAGTATACCTGTAGTCAAAAATAAGTCCATAGCCATGCTAGTGACTCTATGAGGTTGTACTTAGGTACATCAGTGCTTTAACGTCAGCATGCTAACATGCTCCCAATGACAAACACGCTGGTGTTTACCAGGTAGTATTTACCATGGTCAGTGTATAAGCATGCTAACATTTGCTAATTAACACTAAACATAAAGGCCATGAATGTCAACAGCAAGTTGTACAGCAATTCATTCAATAGTTGTTGAGACATGTCACCAATAAAATATCAACGTTATGGTGGTGCGAGAGGAGGATCACAAATGTCCTTAAGGTACATCCTCTGGGCACTATGAATGTCTGTTAAAAAACACATGGCAATCCATCAATTAGCTGCACTGACATTTCACTAATAAGTAAAACATCAGAGTCACAGTGGTGCCAGAGGAAGACCACGGACATCAGTTAGATACATCCTCTGGGCTTTGTGAAAAAACACATGGCAATCCATCCAATAGTTGCTAAGATATTTCAGCATGGACCAAGATGATCAACCAACAACACTGTCATAAAAATACAATTTATTATTTACAAATAATTACGTCACAGTAACTTGTCCTAGTTATTATTTTGCATCTTTAAAACACAGTATAACCCTTTCTTTTTCATCTTAAGGATGTATGGATGCCACAATAAACACATTAGAGACAACTTTGACCACAGTGGGATATCATACCATCCGTCCAAATGGAAAGACCACATGGTAAGCACATTGTGTCAACATCACAGCCACAGACAGACAGCTAAAACCCCATAATCACTTCAGCTCAGCAGCCACACACACACACACACACACACAAAATCTGAGGTTATGGCAGCTGACTGTCAGTTTGCAATCTAACACCAGTGTCACTTACAGCAGGATAAGCCACAGTCTTTAGAGGTAATTTATCAGAACTGCGTGGTCATGGCCCGCAGCTCAGCTGCCTGACGTTTGTTTCCCTTTAATTATGTGGGGCAACACGTGACAAATTATCATGCTCTCTACAGCATTTATAGACCTCTTTAAAGAGGCTGCACTCTTCTCCCAAACTAAACCATGTAAGAGGAATACTTGATCTACAAAATGAATTTATATATCAATTGTTCACGCGTTAGTTGAATTTAACAAAAAAAAAAAAGTTATTCTTGAATGCCACCGTGCTGAACAAATAATCCTAAAACTGAGAAAATTCACGATGAACTGAAGTTAACAGGGCGCACGTTCAGCAACAGAAAAACTATATCAAAACATCAGTTTACAAACTCTCACACAACTTGTGCAGTATAAACTAAGTCTCATTCATCAAGTTGCATGCTCAGTACTTCCCAAGCACATGCATTTTTATTTTACTAAAACCTTACTATTTAAAACACTTTCGCACAACCAGTCTAACACACTGAAGAGTAGTGGGTCTGGGCAAGCACGTGCATTTGAACTCTGCTCAACTGAATGCAGAAGAGTTTGTAATGGATGTTTTGATGTAGTTTTGCAGTACTCAACTGTGGCCTCCTTTTCCTGCAGTTCATCAAGAATTTTGTTTTTTCTGTATTTTTCATTCACTGTGGAGGCATGCAAGAAAAACAAAGTCCTCTTAACGAATTCAACGTAATACGGGTTGAGTGACTGATATACAAATGATCAATGTGTGGGAGAAATATTCCTTTAAACATGACACAGTTACACAGCAGAAGTTAGATCTGGACTGAAGTATTTTACATCTAATAATTTGTTTCTAAATGAAACCCAAGTGTTTTGTGTGGCGAGATTGCATACAAAGTCAATGCAGAGATGAACATAGACACAAATTACGGCCAGATGACGCAAATAACTTGAATCATGCAACATGAATGATGCAAATTTCAGGCTTATGAGTTAAACAAATTCTTGTCATATTGTGTCACAAAAGCCTATTAGCATTGAGATGTATGTGAGATTTTTGTGAATGTCCAGAGCACTTTTATTCAACGTCAGTACTGTAGAGAGACAGAACAAACAAGGAGAAAAGTGAGTGAGTGAAGCCATAAGACTTCACGGTAAGTTATGAAAATATGTATTTGTGAGTTGTAAAAGCCATTTTGCTTTTTAGCAAAAGAGTTATGGCCAAAAACATGTTTTGTGAGGTCACAGTGACCTTGACCTTCGACCTTCAACCAACAAATTCTAATCAGCTTATTTTCGGGTCTAATTGAATGGGACGGACGGACAACCTAAAATCATAAAGCCTCCTGTCATGGCTATCGCAGGCACGGAGGCATGAGAGTAACAAGTGTTGCCATCTTGGTTCACACTGGTTCAGAGCATGGAACGTCCGTGTTTATTGTGTTCACATCACTTGATTCCAGCAACAGATAGATGGCAGATGGTAGAAGCTCCCACTGAGCCTGTCAGTGCTGGCCTGGTGTATCTGGTACCTTCTTCCCAACCTCAGCATGGATTAAAGACAGTTGTCTGGGATCTTTAATGACTCTTCTAGCCTTATTCTTGCAGGGCCTGGTGTAACTTTCCTCTTGGCAGGATAAAGCACTGTCTGCTGCTATCTGTACAGAGTGACCACATTCTTAAAAGAAAAACCTGCCCTGGCAAGATGGAAGGTCACCCTTTTAAGCCACAATGGGCAAAAATGAATATGGTAAATTAGACATTTTTTGAGTTAAAATGGTCGGGGTCTGGGGCATCCTGATGGCTGCATGTCTACCACAGACATGCATCCTGATGGCTGCATGTCTGTGGTAGAATTATGTTGAGGAAATTTAGTGATTAAAGAAGAGTTGATCATTTTTATCAATGCATCCATCAGAAAATATAATGACCCTTGACTGTAACTT